CTCACCCTCCCACCCACTCACCCTCCCACCCACTCACCCTCCCACCCACTCACCCACTCACTCACTCTCCCACTCACCTCTCCCACTCACTCTCCCACTCACTCTCCCACTCACTCTCCCACTCACTCTCCCACTCACTCTCCCACTCACTCTCCCACTCACTCTCCCACTCACTCTCCCACTCACTCTCCCACTCACTCTCCCACCCCTCTCCCACTCACTCTCCCACTCACTCTCCCACTCACTCTCCCATCACTCTCCCACTCACTCTCCCACTCACTCTCCCCACTCCCTCCCCTCACTCTCCCACTCACTCTCCCACTCACTCTCCCACTCACTCTCCCACTCACTCTCCCACTCACTCTCCCACTCACTCTCCCACTCACTCTCCCACTCACTCACCCACCCACCCATTCATCCACTAATTTACCCACCCACCCACTCTCACTTACCCACACACCCACTCACGCACCTCCTCACCCACCCACTCACCCAATCACTCAATAATTCAAATACCCAATTACCCACGTACGTATTCACCCACTAATTCAATTACCCACTCAACTACTCACCCACCCACTCACCCACTCAAGTACTCACTCGGTCACCTTACTCACCCCACTAATTCAATGATTCACCGACTCATTCACTCGCTCACCCCACCCACTCACCCATCCATTCACCCACCTACTAACTTACCCACCTACTAACTCACCCACCCGCGTATCCACCCACTCACCCCACCCACTCGCCCCCACTTACTAACTCACCCATCCACTCACCCACCCGCCCACGCACGCACCCCCTCACCCACCCACCCAATCACCTCCCCATTCACCCACCACTCATTCACCCACTCATTTACCCACTCACCCATCCCAACCACTCACTCAAACTATCCACTAATTTACCCATTCACTCATCCAACCACTCAATTATCCCCTCACACACAGACTCACGAACTCACCCAATCACTCATTCAAAAATCCACTCACCCACGTTCTCATTCCCCGCTCGCTCAATTCCCCACTGACCCACCCAAGCACCAAATCATGTATCCACCTCCCCATTCATTTAATTACCCATTCAACCACTCATTCATTTAAACTAACTCACTGACCCGCCCCCGCACTCATCCACCACCTAATCATTCACCAACCACCAACTTACTCATTAACACATTCACACATCCACCAATCTACACACTGAATTACCCACTCATCCATCCACCTCCCACACCCCAGCCACCCACTCATTCACACACCGACCCACTCATTCATTACCCATCCACCCATTCACCACCTACCATCCACTTACCCAGGTACCAACTCATCCAATTACCCACACACCGATGCACTCATTCATCCACCACCTACCCACCCAACTTGCACTCGATTTTGGTGTACCCAGTTGTACTGTTTGGCGGACAGAGGCAGGGGAACTTAAGATACTCGACCATTTTGGGACCTCCTTCGCCAGTACCAAAATATACTAATAGGGATTTTCCCCTTTTTGTCTGGCAACATTTGACTGCAAGTATTGTGGTTAATGTAAACATGATGCCTTGCAAAAGGTGTCAGTTTTGTTGCCAGAAAAAATGGGAAAACCCCTATTAGTACTCGACCATTTGTTTCAACTGCTGTGCCAGAAGGTGGAACCAGCAATCTCTCTATTGCCAGTGAATTTTACGAGCCATTGCATCACAGCACCCCCTCCAGTATTTAATGTTTAACGAGGGTCTCTCTTCTCTCTCTGCGTGTACATCAGGGTAATATTTAATGAGGGTGGTGTGGACGTCTCGCTGCTCGTGATGGATGTGATGGCAGTGGGGAAAGTGGGGCAAATGGAACAGCGGGGGCATTAGGGCAGAGTAGCACCAGCGCAGTGGAGCAGCGGAGCATAGCAGGGCATTGAGGCAGTGGGGCAGTGGGGCAGAGGGCATTGGGGGCAGCAGGACAGCGGAGCAGCTTGGCGAGGGCAGGGGGCAGTTAGGGGGCGGAGTGTGTCAGACGAATCGCCTGATTATCTTTTCCCACCACTGCCTGTACACGTTCTGAAGAAGGGCCATTGCTGAAACTTCTCTCATGACATAGTTGTCATTGTACCGCCGCACACACAGCCGGGACACTGCACACGAGCAAAGGCACATTTAACAAACCAGGCAGCACTCACAAGCAATGCAAAGTTACATTGTTTTCCTCATAAGTTCATGTCATGACGTTAATAATAAAACAACAATGATAGTATTACATAATACATTGGATTGATCCTATCTCTGAACAGAGTTAGTCTGTTGGCAGCAGTCATTGTCCAGTCCAGTCCTGGCATCTGCTGCTCAGTTCTTCCCGGCTGCGGTCCCAGTAGCACCGTCTTTCCGGGGACCGTGTGGTTGTGTGGTGTGTGTGGTGTGTGTGGTGTGAGTGGGTGTGGTGTGTGTGGTGTGTGTGGTGTGAGTGGTGTGAGTGGTGTGGTGAGTGGTGTGTGCGGTGTGTGCGGTGTGTGCGGTGTGTGCGGTGTCTGGTGTGTGTGGGTGTGTGTTGTGTGGTGTGTGTGGTGTGAGTGGTGTGTGGTGTGTGGGTGTGAGTGGTGTGAGTGGTGTGTGTGAGTGGTGTGCGGTGTGTCTGGTGTGTGTGTGGTGAGTGGTGTGTGTGGTGTGTGTGTGTGCGTGGGGTGTGTGGTGTGAGTGGTGTGTGTGGGTGTATCACGGGGTGGGTGGGTAGATGGTGTGGTGCAATGTGGTGATAGCGGTCTGGTAAGCACGCAACCACCTCCATCACCCCCAAACTGTGCGGTTCGACCAGTCGCAACAAAACAGCATCATGCTGCAGGAGGAGCACACGGGACGCGCGTTCGCCCGCACGAGCCAGGCCCTTTCGTTCCCCGCACTACCACCTCCTCCTGCGTGTAGGTGTGAGTAAGGGTATAGAGGTGTGTGTAGGTGTTGT